ACCGTATTCAGATAGTTATAAATTGCAAAAAAAGTGTAGGAAATGCTTTTCACCCATGCTTAGCTGCCTTTCGAGAAATAAAGTATGTTAAGTTATTCAAAAATTCGCTGTGTTATTTTTTAATACTTTATTGGAAATAATAATAATGCAATTTAATTTTTCATGTTTATGTTTATAACAATAACAAAACTTTAATATATTTTTGAGGTAGTGCATTCCAAAGTGGAAGATTTAAAATTAGATGGAAATGAGAAAGTAGACATAATAATATCAGAATGGATGGGTCACTACTTGCTTCACGAGGGTATGTTGGATAGCGTAATATATGCTAGGGATAATTTTTTACGCCGAGAAGGACTCCTCTTTCCTGAAAATGTCACCCTATTCTCTTCACCCTGCAGGTAATTAACATGCATACAGCGAAAAAATTTACTAATTTCATTATTTTGTTACAAGTATTCCATCTTTGAACGAGTCATGGGCGAATGTGAATGGGGTCTCAATGAAATCATTTGGAAAACAATTAAAAGAAGCGGCAATGAAGGAACCCCTACTGATTCAAATAAATCCAGACGATGTTCTCTCTGAGCCTGAATCAGTTCTTTGGCTTAATCTTCATGACGTTACATTAGAAGATTTAGAATCAATTAATTTTAGACATGTTACTTCAGCATCAAAGGATGGACGTTATCAAGGGATTTGTTTGTGGTTCACATGTACATTTCCCTATTATTCCACCGAACCAGTCATTTTATCTACTGGGCCTGATGATCCAAAAACACACTGGTTACAGACGGTAATTAGTCTACCTGTTGATGTGGATGTTGAGAAAGGAACACCCCTTGCATATGATTTGGTTTTAAAAAGATCAAACACCTCCCTTAGGAAGTATACTATTGAAATGACCATGCTGGATCCTGAAGAAGTTGAACACCCTATATACTGCGGATGTCATATGACAAAGTGCATTTTAGCAAAAGCTGTAATAGAGAAGTATGACCATGGAGATTTTTCGATGAATTAATAAACAATTATACAAAAGTGAGCACAGTATCATTTGTTATTTAATTGCTTGCTGCTGATGAAATAGTAAATAATTATTTACTGAAAAACGAAAAAGTTTCTTTAAAAATATCTGATATAGACGTCAATTTGCCAAACTGTGGTAAAGGAATACATTAACTAAAAAGAGACATCCTAGTTGCCACTTAAGACTAACTGAGAATATTTGCTTCGTTTACATTTCATGTGGGTGTTATCACGTTAATAATGTATATTTTTTTTAACTTTATGCCTTAATTTTAACCGTTTGCGTTATACGAATATGCTGTGGTTTTTAAAATGATGACTTATGGTGTATGAGCAACGAAAGAGCGCTAGTGAATAACGTGAAAATGGAAAGAAAAAAAATAAATAATTCTTAAGAAATTTTGATTCCCAATTTTATGTAAGTCCATATTTGGTAACATTTTGTTATTTNAATAAAATGTGATAAATGACGTAAATTAATTTAAAAATAAAAAGGAAACAGTTTGAGAAAAAGTATCGCAAGTAACTTAATTTACCTTGGAAAGAACTTGTAAAGACTACAATACGACAAAAGTGTAAATATGCAAATGTTGTCGCATTTGAACTTGCATGGATATTGCGATAAATAATTCGCAGAGTTACTTTGTCGAGTTCGCGCTCCATTGTTCGGGATTTTTTAGTGGCGCTCAGCAAAATTTCAAGCGTGAACATACAACTACATAGCGTCGTGTTGACAAGGTATAAATATCTGTACAAAATGTGTAGGTAGGTAGGATTATAAGGTAGTCTGTTCAACATTGACAGTTAGCAAGTCTGGTAATATTTGTAACTCTTTTAGGAACTATAGGTGATACAAGGGGAAAATTCCTTTACGAAAGTTAATTATGTACCCGCTACAAAAATATTTTTTGTTTTTTTTTTTAATAAGATTTCACTGGTTTTTTAGCAATACAACAATTGATATTCAATTCAACCCAACATGATCTTCTTAATAATTTTTTGCCTAGTTAATTATCTTTAAATCGAGATCGTAAGGGAGAAATTTTAAAAGAAAGACTAAATTTGGTTTTTACGTCAATAAAAGAAAAAAAATTGAACAAAGTTCAGCGTTTGAAAATTTTGAGATTTATGGAATAAAAAAAATAAAATTACGTAATAAACAAAACGGTTATCTTTCGATTCGTATTTTTATGAGCTTTAGTTTGATACCCAACATGAAGACTTTAAAACAGAAAACGACTCAAATTATACCCCAAAAATCCTTAAATTGGGGTCGTGAAATAACATTTACGTGATATAGGGTGAGTTTAGTTTACTATACTGACATAAAGAAAAAGATTTTTTATTTAGACTTTCAAAATTTTGAAAATGTTTTTGAAAAGGGCTAAGAATTGATAAACAAATTATAAATTTTTAAATCCGCTGTTTTGTGAAGATTCATTTGATACCCAATATGATGACCTTAAAAAGTTAATTAATTCATAAAATTAAAACTTAAATTGGAATCATGAGAGAGAAATTACATAATCACTGATCAGAAATGAGTTCGGTTCGATATACTGGCAATGAAAAACAGCAAATCGTTTTTAACATTCAGATATTTCTGTCGGTTTTTAAAATTAAAATGATTTTCTGAAAAAGTAAATCTTAGCCAATAACTAGAATTGGCGATTATTACGTAAATTTAACAGTCGATTACATACCAGATTATTTTGAAAATGTTTACCTTCGCATTTTCTCAACCTTAAAAAAGAAGAGTTTCCATTTCTTACCAATCCACGCCCGGTACATAATTAACTTTCTTAAGAAATTCTAAAGCAACTACTTTGGTAAAGTCAAGATACAAGAGAGTAAACAAACAGATGTGTGATGGAGTTTCATCTCGTTGTAACCAAGCAACAAATAAAAAATATTGTTTATCTACAATTTATTTTATAATTAAAAATAATTAACTTTTTTCGAAGCGATTGAATCCTTGACTGATAAAAATTGATAATTTCCACTTACAAACTATTTTACAACTTGCTAGGGACGTATATTTACGTATATCACTACTGAAGCCTACTTTTGTGTGGCCTTGCTGGTCTTTTTTTATAAGAAAGTGATTGACCTACTGGTGTTGTTTGGCAGTACCACGACCATGTGCGTCCCGCGTCCTTCGCCCGTAAATCATGCAGCGTACGTTTCGTCTATTAGTTGCTCTTCTTCTCCTTCTTCTTCATTAACGACTTGAATACGCATACGCACGCATTTAATAATAAGGAAGAAGAAACAGATGACAAGAAGAGCAGGCAACAGAAGACATATATACGTAAGAGAGTTCCTTCCTCGGTTCGTGATTACAATATTCGCGATTCTTCGAAGACGTGGCACCCTCTTGATTACCAGCACCGCGTTGGGTGGTCCACAGTGTGGCCGACCGTCGTGTGTGGTGGAGACCGCCACTGCCGCCGCCGCCAGACCATCTCCTTGCCCCCCACGTACCTCATTGGCAGTACCGGGCGCTTATGCTGTGCTCCAGGCCTTCGTCAGAACGACCATCTACCCTTCGATGTGCTCTTTGCTCTTCGTGTTCTTCACAGCACGCAGCAGCATCAAGAACGGACTTGATTCCACTCATTGTGGTACCTACGCGAAGAAAAATGATTCACTACCTACTATCATTTCTATTCTAACAGAGAACGAATGTGGAGCGTCAACTGAAAAAAAAGATGTTTCTTTTTTTTAATTTATTTTGCGTAATTCTCGTAGCTTTTGAAAATTTTGTGAAGTACGTACCTAATTAGGATTCCACTTACTTGATTGCCTGAATCCTGAATAATAAATCATGCATTTAATTTGTGGTGTTCCCTCATGCAATATTAATTGAAAAATAATTGTTTAAATAGCCACCAACTTCTCAGAAATAACCAAAACCAATTTGCTGATTTCTGAGAATGACGTAATAAATTTTCTTTTGCTATAGATAATATAAACAGCACTCTCAATAAAACCGCATGAATATTATATATTGATTAACACTAATATCGAAATATGAAAGGATAAATTAATTTATTGTAGGTATCCACTTACCTTTAAACAGAAGAAAGTTGATGCTACTTTAAGTTTATTTATTATATTCTTTTAAAATTATAAATTAATAAACACATCTATACAAACAAAAGTAAAATTATAGTTTTATTAACTTAACTAGGATGAATTTCTTTAAGCTTTTTTAATTAGGATAAAAAGACTAAATGACATTAAAAACTATAACAAATTGATTTCTAACTGCTCGCGAGGAGACAGGTAAGTAGAAGAACGTTTTAATTAATTAATTAATTTATTTATTGTTATATTCATTTGTACCTAACAACAGTTCACCTATTTGGCAAATATGTACACAATAAGTAATAGAACGATTTTCTTATAATATAAAATTACNTGAACGGTCATCGGTTGGATCAATAAATTAAGGCAATATACAGCTGCAGACTCCTCTTTGGTCACATGTTACAATCCTTTCAATTGACCTCTATGTTACGCTACTGGACAAGAACAAAATATTTCCATTTGTTTTGTTTTCTTATCCAGATAATAACTACACTACTTTTTAAAGCTATAACCGTAAAAAAAAACAAAATAATACACTGTTATATAATACAAAAAAAATATTTTGGGAGTTCCGCATGAAAACCTTGCTGAGCTGATTGTGAACAATAAAATGTGATAAATGACGTAAATTAATTTAAAAATAAAAAGGAAACAGTTTGAGAAAAAGTATCGCAAGTAACTTAATTTACCTTGGAAAGAACTTGTAAAGACTACAATACGACAAAAGTGTAAATATGCAAATGTTGTCGCATTTGAACTTGCATGGATATTGCGATAAATAATTCGCAGAGTTACTTTGTCGAGTTCGCGCTCCATTGTTCGGGATTTTTTAGTGGCGCTCAGCAAAATTTCAAGCGTGAACATACAACTACATAGCGTCGTGTTGACAAGGTATAAATATCTGTACAAAATGTGTAGGTAGGTAGGATTATAAGGTAGTCTGTTCAACATTGACAGTTAGCAAGTCTGGTAATATTTGTAACTCTTTTAGGAACTATAGGTGATACAAGGGGAAAATTCCTTTACGAAAGTTAATTATGTACCCGCTACAAAAATATTTTTTGTTTTTTTTTTTAATAAGATTTCACTGGTTTTTTAGCAATACAACAATTGATATTCAATTCAACCCAACATGATCTTCTTAATAATTTTTTGCCTAGTTAATTATCTTTAAATCGAGATCGTAAGGGAGAAATTTTAAAAGAAAGACTAAATTTGGTTTTTACGTCAATAAAAGAAAAAAAATTGAACAAAGTTCAGCGTTTGAAAATTTTGAGATTTATGGAATAAAAAAAATAAAATTACGTAATAAACAAAACGGTTATCTTTCGATTCGTATTTTTATGAGCTTTAGTTTGATACCCAACATGAAGACTTTAAAACAGAAAACGACTCAAATTATACCCCAAAAATCCTTAAATTGGGGTCGTGAAATAACATTTACGTGATATAGGGTGAGTTTAGTTTACTATACTGACATAAAGAAAAAGATTTTTTATTTAGACTTTCAAAATTTTGAAAATGTTTTTGAAAAGGGCTAAGAATTGATAAACAAATTATAAATTTTTAAATCCGCTGTTTTGTGAAGATTCATTTGATACCCAATATGATGACCTTAAAAAGTTAATTAATTCATAAAATTAAAACTTAAATTGGAATCATGAGAGAGAAATTACATAATCACTGATCAGAAATGAGTTCGGTTCGATATACTGGCAATGAAAAACAGCAAATCGTTTTTAACATTCAGATATTTCTGTCGGTTTTTAAAATTAAAATGATTTTCTGAAAAAGTAAATCTTAGCCAATAACTAGAATTGGCGATTATTACGTAAATTTAACAGTCGATTACATACCAGATTATTTTGAAAATGTTTACCTTCGCATTTTCTCAACCTTAAAAAAGAAGAGTTTCCATTTCTTACCAATCCACGCCCGGTACATAATTAACTTTCTTAAGAAATTCTAAAGCAACTACTTTGGTAAAGTCAAGATACAAGAGAGTAAACAAACAGATGTGTGATGGAGTTTCATCTCGTTGTAACCAAGCAACAAATAAAAAATATTGGCGATTATTACGTAAATTTAACAGTCGATTACATACCAGATTATTTTGAAAATGTTTACCTTCGCATTTTCTCAACCTTAAAAAAGAAGAGTTTCCATTTCTTACCAATCCACGCCCGGTACATAATTAACTTTCTTAAGAAATTCTAAAGCAACTACTTTGGTAAAGTCAAGATACAAGAGAGTAAACAAACAGATGTGTGATGGAGTTTCATCTCGTTGTAACCAAGCAACAAATAAAAAATACTGTCAGGTTGGACGAGGTAGATCTAGATTTGTGGAATGAACAGGAAATGTCTTGTATCACGTGATCGCTATGAGGATCACCAGGAGCAACAACGAGCCCACTTTGTTATTGTTCATTGTTTGCGAGAGGGAGTTACCACTGTTTTGCGTGCGGGGGTTGTATTCGTCTCTTATCACATTCGTATCAATGTCGCCAGGAGGTTCCGTTGGCTCTTCGTGTATCTTTTTGTGGAAACAAAGTCGCGCCATATTGTTTTGGATCTAAACATAAGAAAAAGATCGATAAAACCAATATTAGAACACAACTATTATATATATCAAGTCGACCAAAACAAGTATTGTTATAGTAATGAAACAATTGTAATAGTAATATTAATCTTGATAACAATTGTTTCTAATTCTTTAACTGAAGAGAGCCCAAAAAATTGTAAACTCCTTGGAAAAGGATAATCTAAAATATTGGATCGATATTGTTTTCCGGGTTCAATGTCATGGTCCATGGAATTTTGAAGTTCCAAATTGATATCAGCACCTGCCAAATCACCACTTATCCCACCTTTAGCAAGGAACTACGAAATTCTATGAATTACGACAAAACAGCCCGCAAAACAATATCGAATTGATATACGCCAACTGTGTAAAACTGAAAACTACAAGATACTGTGGTGTGCTAATAAACGTCTATAATCCAAAATTCTTAGAAAACGATTCGAAAAACTTCACTTATTAGATGAACCCAAAGCTAAAGAAACTATGGATTCAATTTCTTTCTCTTATTAGAAAGTGTAAAAGATCAGAAACAAACTAGGGTTGTAAATATTTTGATATCAAATGATTGATGTTAATTTTACATCAATAAAATTATTTGCAACCCTATTTTGGCTATAATATTTCACGGCAAAGAAACTATTTTGGCATCAGTGTCTTTTTTCCAATTAAAACGGGTGACAAAGGTAAATAAAGAAACATATAGAAGAATTATTTGTTGCNATTTATATTAGTTAGGATAAGGATAAACACAGGAAAGAAAGGCAAAACGGGAAACTATGTATAAAATTATATTATCTTCCTAAATAGATAGGTATGCTAAAGGCGTCCTTCTTGATTACCCCAAGGTACTTCAATTGTCTCTGGAATGGCCAGCGCCCCCCAGGAAGGTTCTAACGTTCCCTGGGGGCGTTATTGTTCTTGTTGGAAATCTATTTTGTATTTTACATTTGAAATAACAAATCAGAAAAGTATTTGCATTTTGTATTTAAATACTTTTAAAAAACCATTTTGCACATCTCTGGTCGGTTGGAGTTGCTTACCAAGAATTAAAATTTCATTGGTTTAGTGTTTAAAAGATTTTTTGATCGGGACTTAATGTGTTTTGGGGCTTTGGTGATGGTGGAATTTAATAGAAAGCCTGCCAGAACGAAGACATGAATCATAGACCATAGTGATTTGCACAGCTACTGCCGGGTACCCGGTTATCTGGTATCCGACAAAATTACTAACCGATGCATCTCTAATTTAAAACTTATTTCATATGTAGTCATATTAAAATACTTATAACTGCAACACATATTTTTTTATAAGATTAACTTTTGATAGCACTGTACTTACTTTTATGTTGAATAGAAGTTACAGCAAAAAAAGGCGCTTGTCTTTTCAAATCCAAATAAATTTTAAAAGTAAAAAAGGTAAAACTAATATCTACATGTGCTATAGGTACATCGTGGTGCAGATAACCCAATCTCAATGCGTTTTTTGTTTTATTTAAATACTAACACTAACTAATAGTTTTTAGCCATTGTTGATGCAAATTTCTTTAATCTGTTGTGTTAGAATCAGCCATATTTTAAAGGTTTTTGTGATCGTTCTTTTTAAGTTTCAACCAACAGTTTTTACATATTTCTCCTGCAGAAAACTTCAAAATTCAATGAGATTCGTCTTAGTTATTGAATGAAGAGTTCATCATCCGAGAGGAGAACAATTTTTTAACGTAGTTTTTTTAACAATACTTATGTATATTTCTCGAATAGGAATTTCGTGATATCTATATATTTCAAATTCCAATTTGCTCAATTTTATTATCTACGTTTTTCTTACCTGCACGCAATTGAAATCTTCCTGTCCATCGCATTTGCAAGTCTTTAGCTTGGCCGCCTTGTCTTGCCGTCGCAAGATCGAGATCGAGTTTCGACATCGATTGTTGCACTTTTTCCCGTGAAACATCGACTTACAATATCGATTGTAATATTCAAGTGCCGCAGAACACACGGCGTCCGCGGAACAAATCCACTGTGCTACACGACAAGACACCACGGAATCGTTAAGATTTGCCATGGTCACCGAAGGTCTACACACTTCCACTCGACGCTTGGCGTCCTCGCAAGATTCGTCGCTACATTGGCACTGAAATAAAAGTTTTAGATAAGAACAAAGTAGAGATCTTTATGTAGTACAGATAGTGTTAGTATTTTAATGGTATTTACAACAGTCGTGGCTTATATTCTTTAATTATTTATAATGATATTTTATTTGCATTATATAATGATAAGAACGACGGCAAAAAATACTCTTTGTTACTTAATAAAGCGCTCCAGTCGTTATTATCCCCGACGCTAGGATGGTGAGGTGTCTAAGCCCGCGATTTTCAATTTTTTTTTGGTACGGAATCCTTTTTGACTCACTGTTTTTTTTTTTCAAAACCGTCTCGATAAAAAATAAACTGATAATAATTGTATGTCTAATCATGACATCTTATGTTGAAGTCTTCAATTTGAATTTTGAATTCAAAATTAATGCTCAAAAATTGAACTTCAGCGTCATCCAATTGTTGAATTTGTTTTCAGTGTAAGCGTGATCTGAAAAGCTCGTCTATTGTCTGTAAGTCTATACGAATCGAAACAGGTCCCGTGATAACCTTCTTAACGACTGCAGGGTATATTCATCATCAGTTCTATCCAAAGGTCATTCAAATTTGAATCAGCTGATTTGAGTTTTTGTTTTTTTTTTTTGAGAAGACGAATTCATAATATCGATCAAATTCTCATACTCCTTCACATTTAGCAATGATGGTTTAGTCTGATTTGGGAAAGGATTCTGAACTCAGTGACTGTCTTGTAACTCCTCAGGAAAATACTCGTTCAATGGATGTTCATTTACAGTTTTATTATCATCTGAAGTTACTTGCAAGTAAGTCATTTTCTTCGAGTATCCTATTTAAAAGATGAAAGCATTGGTAATTTTTTTATTCGATAAATTAAATCTAGAAGCCAAAGTTTTTCTATCCTTGGAGGAGATATTTTGTCTCTCACTGTAAACATCTTCGCGACCTATTGATTGCGTTAAGTTTATCAAATATATCGGTCAAATAAGCCAATTTCATTATGCGTTTTTCGGCATTCAGTAGTTCGACATGACTAACTTTTCCTCTTGAAAGCCATCTTACTTCCGTTTGTAAATGAAGTGACTTCCTATATCTTCACATGCTTTTTAAGAAGCTTTGACGACAATACATCTGTACATTTCTACTACAACAGTATCAGTACTCTTTTTTATCATAAAATTAATTGTTAGGGTAAAGCCTATTGTTATTGGTTTGATAACAAAAAATATGTCATTGTTACGGTTAAATACAGAACGATTACTTTTCGCAGAATTTTGTAAATTTTTGTTAGAACAAAAAACCTCTGTGACCCTTCCACGGGACAGCAAGGTTTCACGGAACACCCCTTGGATACCGCTGTAAGCGCTCTAGTGGATTACCTTGGAGCTTCTTTATAAATCGAAGCTATTCTGGGTTTGTTCCAAGTCTAATTGCATTGCTTCTCATTACTCTTAATTATTTGCGTTTCGACAGCTTCATGTGATAGAAACTTTTCAAAATCAAAATTAGTAAAATCGTATTAAAGATGCACAATTGACCTTCCACTTTTTCCACATTGAAACGGAAAGGAAAGTAAAGTGACAATGAATTGAATATTTTAGCAAGTTTTTAGTATTTCTTGTTTTATTTTGGGGGGTGCTCAATAGAAAATCACCCCACGTGCCAACTCATACTACGCCGCCACTGTATCTTTTCGAATTTTCAGTGTAGGTACACTAAGGATCATTAATTTTTTATGATTCATTATTATGGAACGTTCATCTAATTAATTGTCTTTTCTTCACATTTCCCTACCTCCCTCGCTTGCGTTTAGTGACAGATAGCCCTTTGTCCCCCATTACCAATAAGAGAGTTTGGTAGCAGTATATAAGCGTAGGTGGAAATGAGTGGTGAAAATTTTTTTTTAGTTCGAAAATGTTCAGAATGTTTCAGGTAGATAGACTTATACTAATAACTGAGTAGTGAAGTGTGCCGGTGGGTGAAAAATGTATTACAACCACGACAGAATGAATTGGAAATAGAATTTTCCACTATTAATTACATGCTTTTCCCCTGCATCGTCGGGCATTTCTGCAGATGCAGTGTTGCACCATTCACGTCTAAGAATGTCATGTGTAGCATTAAAATTGCAAAACATTTGAAAGTGAAAATGGGTTACGTTATCTAATAAAAATAAAATGTTTTTTTTTTTAGTTGGTTCACAATACATTGTTGGCACGAGGTATACATTATGTATAGTGATAGTAAATAAATCGTGGTACATTCACTATAGGAGTAAATTGAGATCATTGACCGTAACCAGGACAAGTAGTACTCAAAGATCAAGCGACTGATCTAACTTTCACATTTGAAAAACGTTTTCCGCTACAGATCAGTCCCATTTGATCCGCCCATCAGGATGTAAAGTAGAACTACTACATACATGTATACCTACTTTCTATCATCAGGAAACTTTAAGCAATTTATAATGTATTACAAACAATTCTTGTATGATATAAATAATATAAAATTGATTTTTCGAAAACGACTTTAAGGATAATGCCATCTCATTTTCGGGACAACTAGATACAGTTTGTTATTCTGTAGTTTTAATAGGAAGAGTGAAACCCTGTCATCCTAAGATCCGGTTGGTAATTTTATATGTTAAACATACGTGTACAGGTAACATTTTATTGCCTCCTGCGGGAGGAAACAGGAAATTTGACAGAGACCAAAACCAAAATGTGCAATTCAGAATTCACATCGATATTCTTGACGAATGAAATAAGTTTTTTTTTTAACGTTGTAGGTTTGTATGTACGCAGTTAGTCGAAGTCACTGACAGTAGGTCAGTGTTGAATAGTAGTTATTACAATTGTGTTTAGTACGGTAGAACATTATGACATGAAACTAATGTCAATGGTCAAATTGAACGGTCATCGATATCCTCAGTACAGAGATTAAGAGAAACTGGCAATGTACTCCCAATGTTTTTGCGCGATTGAGAAATAATTTTAGTAGAAGTTTTAAAGCCTCTCTTCTACCTTGCAGTTTTAATTTCGAAACACTTTTGTACTTCTTGGAATAACTCGTCAAGTTGTTGTTGTAGTTTTCGTACAATTCTTTTTGTCCCTTAACTACGCTATTATACTCAACATGAGCTTCCCTAATGCGTCTATAACTAACACCCTTTTGTCACTTATTTCAGAAACACTTTGCATAAGTGCTATGCACCATCGGTCATATTCATCATCATAAGGTCGTCAGTCCTAACACTGGTTGGACACGCACCTCCACTCTTTCCTATCCTGTGCTAATCTTCGCATTTCCCTAGAACTAGAACAACCCATATCCTTAACTATTTGCAAACAATAATCTAATCTAGGTCTACCTCTACCCCTTCTAACATCCGTTTCTGTCTCTAATATGTCTCTGACTACACCTTTATGCCTGAGAAGTGGTCCTACCAACCTATCTCGCCTATTTCTTATTGACTTCCACAGAGTCTTCTGTTCTCCTATTCTTTCTAATACCTCTTCATTTCTTTTCGAATTTCTAAATTAACCGTTCCCGAGCATAGAAGTGACTTTTTTTTATTGAAGGCGACACGACCCTGCGCTATCCTCTGCTTTATATCCTTCTTTTACTTCTTCTGTCCTGGCTTATCTGACTTCCTAGATACCGGAAATCAGCCACTTCTTCTAATTTCTCGTCTCTTATCTTTATACTCGTTCTTTCCCTACATTTCTTCCTTTACAGTATTTTTGTTTTACTTTTATTTATTTTCATACAGTACTGTTTTGTCAATACCGCTTCCATTTTATTTAATGCTATCTATAACTCCTCCTTGCTAGATGCTAATACTGGTATATCATCTGCAAATCTAAGCATACTAATCTTTTGTCCTTGTATATCTATCTACAGTTGTACTGTCTTTGATGATGTTGATCGTATCTTCGATGTATAGATTAAAAAATATCGGAGACAGGGTGCACCCCTCTCTGACTCCCTTCCTGATATTTACTTCTCTACGTTGCTGCCCCAGCGCTATAACTGCCTGTTGCTCTTTATACAAACTAAGTATCACTCTTCTATCTTTGTAACTCATCCCTACATTTTTAAGTATATTTAACATCTTGTCCCATTTAACATTGTCAAAAGCTTTTTCTAAATCTATAAGTCCTATGTACGCACTCTTTCCTTTTTCTATCGTTTTCTATCTCTGTTACCCATAAAGCTAGAATGACCTCCCACGTTCCTCTATTTCTTCTGAACCCAAATTGATCTTCCCCTAATAGTTCTTCTGCTCTTTTTTTCATCCTCCTCTGTACAATTCTAGTTAAGATTTTTGACGCATGGGAAGTTAAGCTAATTAATAGTATTACCATTCATCAAATTTGTACGGGTTATACTAACTAATAAATAATCATTTATAACCCCCTCCTCACATCCATTTTTCTGCTCAATTACCTCAATTTTCGGGCAATAGATATTAAAGTTAAATCTTTAATTTAGGGAGCGGGGAATAGTTAAGACTCCTTAAACCCCATCCCGTTTGAATGTGCGCTTCATCATTAACATTTGAAGCTGTATTTATATTTAGGTTTGTACTTAAGCGAATATTTGTCTTTCTTTTAAAACGCTCCATTTAAATGACAAGCGGTCATCAATCACCATTTGCAACAGTAAAAATAACTTTGCCCCATAATTGGCCCGCAGTAACGACCGTTGTACTTATAGATAAATTAGAGTGTGTGTGTGTCTCCCGGCCAAATGCAATTAGGATTTAAATAGCGAGAGCTATGTAGATGTTTACGATGGTTGGCTGCAATCGAACGGCCGATGGCTATAAGATACATTGTTTTCGAGGCATTATCCGATTGAACTCAGAAAAAACTACATTTGTGTAACAACCTCTGATTTCTGTTGTAAGTCTAATGGCAGTCGTTGTAAGTCGTAAAAGAAAACTAAATTCATGTGGTCCAATACATACAATGCGCCAGGTTTTAAAATTCTTCCCGAATTTCTTCTCTCATCGAGTGTCACTGAGAGAGACTGTCAAAAAAACTGTTAGCGTTTCTGAACGAGAGACTCGAGCCGCTCATAGAGAGATTCTCATTTCGTATCCAGTCTCTGAACGAGAGACTCGAATCTCTCAATTTTTCACTTTTATTCATTCAGTCTCTCTGTGAGAGACTCGAATCTCTGAATTAACAATTTTATCGTTCGAGTCTCTCATACAGAGACTGTGAGAGATCCATAAGGACACCTAGGCAATAACTGAGAGACCGTGAAAGACTGTGAGAGACGCTGAAAGACTCTGAGAGACTGAAATTTTTTGTCTAGGGTTTACATTTATGAAAATAATTGGCCGGAAACCCATGGTGAAACATTATTATAAAAAATAATAACAAAAAGACACTTGGAGAAGTTTTAGTAAATTTTATTACGAACTCGATGTACATTTCGCCTTCTTAGGGCATCTTCAGGATTATAATTAAGTATCAGTGGCGGATCTAGAATTTGCAGTAGGGAACAATGTTTTGTTTTTTTTTTTTTTCGGGGGAGCCTACAGGCCCCTAGCCCCCCTCCCCTTTGATTCGTTACCGTTCAGTACAAAAGTTTCGGTTACAATATTTTTCTTAATACTAGGGCGCTTAGGAAGTATTAGCTTAGGATCTAGGAGGGAGTTTTTACCGAACTCCAGTTGACCATTAGCTAGTTTTTGATTAATGAAATTGCTTTTTTTATTTTCAAAATCTCGTATCGATCTAAAACTTTACCTTCTTTTAGATGGCGGAACAATTTAAAATTATTTTTGGAAAACTAGCTAATGATCAACTAGAGTTCGGTAACAACCCCCTCCTAGAACCTAAAGTAATACTACCCAAACGCCGTAGTATTTAAGAAAAATATTGTAACCGAAACTTTAGTATGTACTTACTAATACTCCTGAAGATGTCTTCAGAAGGCGAAATGTACATCGAGTTCGCAATAAAATTTAGTGAAACTTCTCCAAGTGTCTTTTTATTGTTACTTATCTATACATTTAATTGATTTAATGTTGCTTCTTCTATGCATGTCAAGGGTGACTTCCGATGGTGCAAGACACAAAATTCGGACTAGATGGGCAGTGTTCGCGTTCAGGCTCATTATCATCTTGCTATGCTACTGCTTTTTGTATTATTCCTACTATGTTGATTTTGCTACTTTAGTGTGAATTTGATTTTGAATTTTGGCTAGACAAGAACCAAAATTTCAAGAGTAGGATGTATAGGTTCTAGTGCATAGAAGTATAATCTTGATTTTGACTTGTTTTTTGAGAGAATAATCTACAGGGTGGCGGAGATCACGAGAATCGGTAAGGCACTCTGATGCATAATACTAGGATGTGGAAGGCAACGGGAAACCACCACAGTATGATCCCTAGTAAAACATACAACTATACAAATTAAATGATGACGTCCTCTGGGGTAAACTAGTCCCCCATTCGGATGTCCGGGCGGGGACTACCTCGGCGGATGTCATTAATAAGTGTAACAGGGGAAGGTACAATATTTCACGGGTCGGAGCGCGTAATGTTAGGTCAATGACGCAAGTAGGGAAATTAGAAAATTTGAAAGTTGAGATGAATAGACCAGATTTAGATATAATAGGCAATAGTGATACTTAGTTTGTATGAATAGCAACAGGCGGTTATAGAGCTGGAGCTACAACGTAGAGAAGTAAATATTAGAAAGGAAGTCAAACAGGGATGCACACTGCCACCATTACTTTTTAATCTATACAGCGAAGACCCGATCAATGTCATTAAAGACAGTACAACTGTAGGGATAGATATATTAGCATCTAACAAGGAGGAGTTAGAGATAGCTTTAAATAAAATGGAAGCGGTATTGACAAAACAGTATTGTAAGAAAATAAATAAAAGTAAAACAAAAATAATGGTATGCAAAGGAAGAAAAAGTAGGGAAAGAGCGAATATAAAGATAGGAGACGAAAAATTTAGAAGAAGTAGCTGATTTTAGGTATCTAGGAAGTTAGATAAGTCAGAATCGAAGGAGGAGTAGTACGGATATAAAGCAGAGGATAGCGAAGGGTTGAGTTGCCTTCACTTCACTTCTATGCTTGCGAACGGTTAATTTAGAAATTCGAAAAAGACTGTTAAAGGTGTATCTTTGGAGCGCTACGCTATACGGGTGTAAAACATGGACGGTGGACGTGGCGGAAAAGAAAAGGTTAGAAGTCTTCGAAATGTGATGTTATAGGCAAATGATTGTGGTGTTATAGGCGGATGATGAGAATAACGTGGGTAGAAAAGGTTAGAAATGAAGAGGTATTGGAAAGAATAGGAGAACAGAGGATTCTATGGAAGTCAATAAAAAATAGGCGAGATAGGTTGGTAGGACACCTTCTCAGGCATGAAGGGCTAGTCAGACACATATTAGAGGCAGAAACAGGAGTTAGGAGGGGTAGAGGTAGACCTAGATTAGATTACTGTTCGCAAATAGTTAAGAATGTGGGCTGTTCTAGTTTTAGGGAAATGCGAAGTTTAGCTCAGGATAGGAAAGAGTGGAGGTACGTGTCCAACCAGTTTTAGGACTGATGACCTTATGATGATGAGGCAAATGATGAGGATACCGTGTATAGAGAAGGTTAGAATTGAAAGAATAGGAGAACAGAGGACTCTATGGAAGTCAATAAGAGATAGGCGACATAGGTTGGTGTAGGACTCCTTCTCAGGCATGAAGCTCGAGTCAGAGACATACTAGAGACAGAAACAGGAGTTAACGGGAGTAGAGGTTCTAGTTTTAGGAAAATGTGAAGATTAGCTCAGGAAAGGAAAGATTGGAGGTGAGTGTCCAACCAGTCTTAGGACCGACGACCATTATGATGATGAATTTACAATAATATCTCATTGAAATGTGTCTACTTTTAATTTGAACTCAACGCTACTTCATTGTGATGTCTTTTCTGCTACAACACGAAACTGAATTGAACCTCGCCCGCGATTTAGTTATCCTTGATTTTTAATAATGCGGACGTATTCAGGTCAAAAATAACAACGCATACAAAAAAGGAAGTTGACTTACAGTCATTAGCTGTTTTCCTTCTTCCGTAGAGGTGAGGGCTATGAGAGAATTTTGACAAATTTCGGGACAATATGCGAGCTCGTTCATTCCTTGAAGCACAGCAGAACAGCCCATGACGTAATGCTGCAGGGCTTTTCCACAGCCCACTCTGTATGCGCACCTCATACGAGCTACCTCGCAGGACATCACTTCTTCATCGGCGTTTCTTTCTTGCTGAGCTGTGCTACCTGCCACGGCTGCCATTGCTGCTAATGACATCATGATCCACCACATGCCTGAAACAAAATAGAAACCAAATCAAAAATACGATACTATTCAACGTTATTTCGAATTAAATCTTTCTATACCTTGCCTCAATCTCTATAATTTGAGGAATAAAATACTGGTTTACAGTAGATGTTAAGAAAGGGTTAAGAGTTACGCATCCCCTCTTATATAGGGTGTCCTAGTTATAATAATTAATATTTATACCACAGATTCCTACGGACATTTGGAACATAAAATGTTATAACACTTTTGACTTTTGAAACAAAATAAAAAATTATAAAATTATAACAGTTTCGATGCCGGCCCTGCACAATCGCAAATTAATTACGATTGCCAGCTGATCGTAGAAAAATTCACCTTCAGTAGGTCGGAATCAGCTGCTTTTTGGGGTGATGTTATTGTTTATGTTTGGTATTAAGTTACGGATCAGCCGAAGAAAATGCACTCGCGTTAAGGTCCATTAGATGACTGAAACATGTTAGAAAAACTACGTACCTATCACAATCGAAAATCCCATGATCGTAAACTGAAGTGGACCTAATGTAGTCCATGACGTCGAGTATTATGTTATTTTAAATAGAAAAGAAATTTTAACAACTACGGAATAGTTAGAAGCGGTGCACAAACAACCCTCACCACCCAGCGTTTGGTAAAGGTTTGTAACATAACGTACTAGTGTACGAAAACAAATGTATGTGTTATGGTTGTAAAAGTTGAGACAAGATGCAGACCTACTTTGACCATTCACATGTGTTAAACGTTACTTTTGCCTGGCAGGGCTCATTAACCCCACGTGGGGTAATACAAGGATGTGTCCAGAAGGACCAAGTTGGTTATTTTGTTTTCATTAAATGTAAAAAGCTAAATATTGATATAACCTCGTATAATTACACTGCTGGAAGTGACTGGAATAAATACACATAATGTCGTAGTTTCTAACAGGTTGTTCAGTTTGCTTTGGATTGTTGTGGAATTTACTTGTTTGTTAGTGTTAGTTTATTTATTTAGTGGTCATTTCATAAAAGACTATTACAATAAGGACAATTAGTAGTGTGATAGTGCATTCTAGTAGGGTTCTTATTCAACCGTCAGTTGGTGGTGAGTTACATTACCAATGCCTATCGTATGATTCGAAATATTCCCGGTATCTGGGCCAAAATTCGAAGCAACCGGGTACGCCGCTGTCAGTGTTGCATTGAAGCGAATGGCGGACAATTTCAACATTTTTTATAAAAGGTACAGTTTTCTTTTTCATTTTTACCTTTTTTTTTACAAGATAGAAGTGCATTCTGTCTGCTTCTTCCCAATAGGTACTTGTTACATCCACACTAGATCAGCTGAGCGACGTTAGTCGCCTAGATCCAGGCCCGTAATGAAACAAATTGTACGTTCAAATTTACAAAGACGATTTACGAGCTCAATTGTCACTGGATTAAAAAGTTGTATAACACATTTTTGTTGTATTTTGTGTCAGGAAGCCATGGTTCTTTTTTTAATTATTATAAATGGGACACCCTGTATATAATACGTCCTGAGAGGAGGTCTGAATCAGCCATTGACGAAACGTTAGAGTGGCAGTTTCACTATTTTAAAATTACAATTATCAATGAAGGGAAATCGGACTACATACATAAAATCCGAAATTGTAAATGTATCATTTCTAATTTCTATGGGCGTACGACAGATTAAGTGTACCAAAAAAGTAAATTTTTTTTTGTATCAAAGGGCTCTTGAATTTGTATATACCATACGAAATAAAGATAATTACTAAAATATTCAATATTATTTATATGTAGTTTTAGAGTTAATGATAACAGACAACAATTTGTCATCCTTTATCATAGCAATTCCATTCGATAATTAATCTTAATTGTAGAAATTATCACATGTAGTCGGTAAATTAAAGACTAATAAGACACTTTCGCAGATATATATACGTACTTATGATTATTGAGCTGTCTGATGTTGTATAAACAAGAAGATTTAGGTGACTTAGAAGCACTTCAGTTTATTTTTATTTAATTATGACTAACGCCAATTCCCTTTGGCAACGGAAAGTTTAATAAACGCGTATTATTTATTGATAATTGAAAAAGGTTACTTTCCAAGCTGCAACAGAATTTTATTTTTAAAGAAAACTTACCTATAGTTACTTTTAGAATTTGCAAAGTGATGAGTGGACCAATTATTATTTTTAAATGATTCGAAATTAAATTGCTGCAGGACTACTCTTTAACTTAGAAACATTCCGGTTGCCCAATTTCGATCCGGTACCCAGCGGATCTGGCACTTTTTTAGGATCCAGTGCCAGCAATAATAATTAAATAAATATAACAAAAAACCTATCTAATGGAAAATGACAATTATTATTTAAAAGACTTTTTGAACTAGACTTAATGTGTTTTGGAACGTTGGTGAGGGTGGTATTTAATGGAAAGTCCGCTAGAACTAAGACATGAACCATTAACTATAGTACCCAGGTACCAAACCGGCAAAATTCCTTTTGGGATACTTAGTATATAAATATATATACCCCACGTAATTATTTTCATTTTTAGTGGAAAATTGATATGAAATTAAATATTTTCATTAATAAAAGGATTGGAAAGATTAATGTTTAACTATTTACGCGCAACTTTTAATCCCGTGTTCCTTGGCTAACTGAACATTAATACCACAGATAGACCAGACAGTGATTTTGCTAAATAACCGAGTACCTGGCCAAACAATCACAGTTAATGGTTCATGAAATTTGATTTGGTTTGGTATTTGGCAGATTTTCAACGAGAGGGTTGTATTGAAACCGTTGAAACTAGCCTATAAACATACTAATAAGTAAATCACTATCCGGTGCATCTCTACTTTAAATTAACTGCAGTGTAAGCCAAAGGCTGTTAGTGTACAGGTGCATTACCAAAAAATTAGGTATTTATGTATTTTTGCGACCCTATTACTAATATTATAATTTAGTGCATGTTGTAGCACATCTAACATTGAAACTACATCATTGATATTCCTGTGCAAAATTACCTTTTGTAATCGGTCGCGGTCAGGTTCCTAGCGAAGTAATTTGTTGCTAAATGGACCAGCAATTGCCTCATAGATTAGAGATTTATATTTTTAGTATATATTTCTATAATCTATGAACTACCTCTTCAGCAGTCTTTACTCTGTAATTCTAAGAAACAAACAAACGCATATACGATACATATACAGTTCCTGTAGACGCAATCTGCTGACAATTTGTCGAAATGGCAATTTTGGGATTATCAGTTGCTACTAATGGGTTCGCTTCTGAAGCCTGTTAAAATGACTCCTTTTGGACATGCTGTGACTCATCGTGACGTTACAATTTTTGGTTTTATACCCTGGTAAATTTCCTTCCTACCGCCGATACAGTAGTTTCACTTCAATAAGAAAATAATTTATATAAAGGAATACAACGTGTAATTATACAACACGCTACTGTATTATGCATGTATTATACGTATAAACTTTCCTCTTGAATTGTTCTATCTATTTCTCCAGCAATCTTTACTCTGTAATTCTAAGAAACCAACAAACGCATATACAATACATAAACAGTTTATGTAGACGCAATCTGCTGACAATTTGTCGAAATGACAATTTTGGGATTATCGGTTGTTAGATACTAATAGGTTAGCTTCTGAAGCCTGTTAAAATGACTCGTTACAATTTTAAGTTTTATACCCTGGTAAATTACCTTCCTATCGTCGATACAGAAGTTTCACTTGTGGAAAATGAATCAAAAATAAAGGATTAAAAATTAACATAAAATTGATAATCTAATAGTTATATTTGTACAACTTTAGGTACCATTATCTGGTAATACAGTGTTAACTGTTTTTGTTTTACTTACGATTAAAAGTGAAGACCGTTTAGTTTGGCATTAAAAGTGCTTACATCACGGAAAGGTCAATGGTACAGTAAATAATTAAGCGTTTGAGAAGGTTAATACTCTCTGACAATGAATACAAACATACATACAAATCTACAATATACGAACATACGAACATTTGTATTGTAGGAAATAAAAATAACACGCACAGTTGTAACATCCTTATTTATGATTATGAACAAAATATTAAGCTCGCCTTCTGAGACAAACGTGTTGGCTATATGCCACGCTTCCAATGTAATACTTGATTAAATTTATTTACAAAGCATCTATTTTAAGTAGCAATAATAATAATTTAAACACTTTATACAGAGATGAAGAAAAAATAGTAAATGTCTTGATCTTCCGAAGGGGGTGGGGGTAGGGAGGATCGAAAGAGGGTGGTCACCTGAGTGAAACCCCATAAAAAATTTGCGGTGGTCTCACCCACNGCTGGAGTGATCTACACGACATGCATGTCAACAAACTATAGTTCATGTTCAATATTACTTTAGAAACATCGTTTATAATGCAAGATGTTCTTGTATTTTTATTACCTGTCTGATATATATATATATATTTATTTAATCCACCCATATATGCAATATATTCAAAATATGTATTTCTTCATTAATTACATTTTATAATGCAAACCAAGTTACAGATATTTGAAACTGTCATATTGAAAAATTCTTGTAGGGAGCAATTATTAAAAATGCCTGTTGGTGCATTATTCGGAAGTACATCTACAGGTCCTGGATCAACAGGAGGCAATAAACACCTTATTGAAATGAGGGCCGGAAAAATGACTCAAAAAGGTAAGTTTGTATGTAAAAGCACCAATTGTAATAAAGTAAGACCTTGAAGGTTAAGTTATAGTTACAGGCCAATCATAAAGTATGATAAACCTCCTTGATGTGAACAATGTAAAGTTATTTTGTTCTCGGTATCTCTTAATTTGATTTCTAGTAACATACTTTAACACAGAAAAGGTTAAGGTTCAAACTAGGGAATTAAAATGTATAATTTATTGTTATTGTTATTATTCACTTTCCAAAATACATGGTTGTTTAAAATTTAAATGTTTAATATTGCATTATAAAGTGACGT